GTTTCCCTCAGCAACAGTGCCACACGAAGCATATTCCCGAAGTTCTTGCTCCTCTTGTTGATGGCTTTGCACAGGCCCCTCAGTTGTGCTGATGCAATTTCTGTGGAGCCACACAGTAAACCCCAGGGGACCAGCACTTTGCTAGGAATAATCCTTCCCCAAAAGCATCAGAGCGCAGGTGCAAAACCCAATTTCTCCTGGTGATAGCTGGGTTTCTTGTTATGCCTAGACGGTTTGTAGTATTTGGACAGCATGGATATTGCAATGCAATGCTCCACTGTGTCTATCCAGTGTGGTCCCAGAAGAGTCATCCCCAAAATTCTCTGCTTCTTCACCCAACTTCTTGATTCTTGACTCCAGTTCACTTCAAAATCCAGCTGTAGCTGTGGCCCCACATGTAGCAACTCCTGCCCCTAGGAATGGAGAGGTCCTTCATATCTGCTAGTGAGCAGAGTGAAGGGCACCTCAGGGCTGGTGCTGGTCAGAGGCCCTGTGGAGAAGAGGATGCTCTGCTGGCACCTCTTTGTGACTAAATAGCTAAGACCTCATTTGCTTTTTCAGTTGCATGGCATCTCCATGCATGTTGGTTAAGTTTTGAAGCTAAAAACGGCGACTGATAAAACACTGCTGTCCCTACCACAGCCACAGAAGCTGTTGCACATACCCTGGTAAAGCAGGTAAGAGACAACACCTCAGATATGTTTCCCAGGCTGCAGCAACTGTTCTGGTCTCTTTGTAACAGGGCAGAAAAGACAGAGGCCAGCTTGCCAGGAAGCTGTCAAGAGGGACTCCAAAAAGGGGCTGGATAAAATAGGGCATTCTCAGTAGGCTTGAATTTTGGAGAAATTCCCTAAAATTAAACCTAAACAAGAAACTTGGAAAACAGGTGCAGGAGACTAGGGAAAATACTTACTTTGCATGTACACAAGTGTATTGAGTCACACTTTTGAGAGAAGGGACAAGGATGGTGGTTAAAGTATTCTGGGAGATGAGCCTTTTACCTAAATACGTACTGCTGGCCTCTGGTGATTTATTCCCCGTCCCTGAACACCCTGGCTGTTCATTCCCATAATCACCAAGCCCCTTCAGGCCTGCCAGCACAGCCATTTATAGGAATACGTACTGATCCAGGGCAAGGACTTATTACAAATGAACTCTTTTACATTTTCCAGGCTGGTGTTAAGCCAGATCATTTAAAACAGAAAGATCATCTATATAGATGAACCTGGTTCCAGAAGAACCTAGCAGAAAGGTCAAAGTAGAAGACAGATGCTATTTTTACAGGATATTGTATTAAACTACCTGTGGCACACAGATGACATTTGCTCATCTGACTATGGGCTAGCCCTTTTAACATATTTATTTTGGCTTTGAGGATGCACTCTTGAATATTTCCTTATAGCTTACTTGTCAGTTGGAGGGTATGTATGGTATAATCTTGAAGATTAAAGCAGGCAAAGCTATGACTTGTTTCACAAGGTGAGAGAGCTTCCTATAGGTAAAAGCTTTAGCACAAAGACCTCCTCATGTGAGTTTTAAACAGACAAAGTTTGTAAGAGTGGTATAATCCACTCTTTCAAGTTTGTATCTCTGTATCCTCATTTCCTAGAAATGGGTCTTAAATGCAATAGAAAAAATATGTTCAACTAGCAGTGTTGATTCCCCAAATACATCCCATCTGCACTGGGATAAAAACTGTACTGATAAGAAACGTGTGATGCCCTTAAATATTTCTGCCCTGCCTTCTAAGCTCAGATGTTCAAAAAATGCCTGTATGCAGGTGGTGTTGTAGAAGGTGGCTTGAACCAGGCTCATGACTCACTGTCACCAACTGACTCCTGTTCCTCCTCTCCTCATTTTCCTCTCCTTTTTACTTCTATCTGCATGTTCGCCCCCCAGCTTTAATTTGTGCTGTCTTCAGTGCTGGCTAGATTCTTCACCAAGTCAATTCAGTTCATAGACTCAAAAAAAGATTGGTTTTCTTCATATCTAGTGTGTTACACTGACAAAGCTCCTGGCACAGGGCTGGTGGGCAGAAGGGATGAGCACGAGAAAATGTCCTGTTTTGGCAAAAATGAGCTTTTAGCACTCAACCGTCTTGTGCACCCTCACCCCTAGTAAAGAAACGGGTCTGGTGCAGAAGTGACAGTGCAACCAGACTGTTATTCTGAAGGTAAGCCAATTCTGAAAAAGCAGTTTAATCCAGTTCATTAGTCTGGGAGTCAGGTGTCAGTGCTCCAGCGCTGGCTTTGCCCATGGCCTGGTTTAAGACACTGGGAATATAATTTTGCACCTTTCTACCTGCTTCTGTGAATGGGAAACAATAACACTGATCTCCCTTGTAAAATCGTGTTGGTGTCTCTCAATGAGAAGTGCTACTACTACTTCTGACCTTTATTTTCCCACTTGAACAAGGTGTAAATTACTGGTAGACCAACATATGTGTATGTCAATGTACATATCAGTGTGTGCCCCAAGGGATTATAACCTCGAGACTGCCTGCATCCCGAGTCATGCATATGCTGCAACCATATTGCATGAAAGAGGTTTCATGACTCTGGTTTGGAAAAGGATTCAGTAATGTTACCCCAAAGGACCCAGTAGCACGGGCTGTGGATGCACACCTCTCCCACAGCGACCAGAACCTTCTTGCTGCTCTAGGTGAGCAGAGAGGGGAGAGGTGGCCCAGTGGTTATGCTGCTAGACCGGGATTTGGCCACTAACCTGCAGTGTGGGGGTGCATGCTTCTTGTGAGACTTGGGGGGAAGTGACCTGGGCCGGTCACTTCAGGCCTACATACTTCGCAAAACTTTCCTTTAATTTCCCCACGCTTCTCTTCCTTATCTGAAAAGTGACTTTCAAGAATTTTCTGTCACACAGGAGTCATGTGGGAGATAAGTGTTCTGAGATAAATACCAAAGATAAGTTAAGACTGTTATTTGAAAACCAACAGAATGGGAATTGAAAGTCTTTAGCCTTTGGGGGGCTAAAAAAGAATCTTGGTTTTCATTGCATGTCTTTGGGTAATAAGCACACAGTTTTATGATTTGGGGACCAAACAGTCTTTTTTAATCTTTTATCTGAACTGAGATTTTCATGGCTGTCTGAAACTATAAATATCTGTTTGATTTAGTTCTTTCATGATATGCTGTCCATCCAAACTGGTCCTTAAATGATCTCTCTGCTTGGCTGGAGGCCTATAACTATTTGTTTTAACAGCTGAACCACTGCCTGACACCATTATCTCCCTCTGATGTGCCTGAAAAGCTAAAAGGTAGTGGCTTGGTCAAACTTGGACAAGAGGGTTTTTTTAGAGCTGGGAACTGAGTCCCAGACAAACACCCCATGCACCAAGAAGGATGGCTTCTCACCCCGGAGTCACTCGAAGCTCTGGATCTGACTTGGATACTTTCAGGTGACTTCCACACCCTGTGCTACTCTTACAAGTTTGGATTCAAAATCCTGGACAACAGCAGCCCCTGAGTACATCTGTCAGAGCTTTGTGGCCATTTTTGGCCAGGCACCCTGAAGTGATGACAGGGAAAACAAGGAAGAAGAAGGAAACATATCTGCTGTGGAAATGTTGCATCTTTTGGATGAAAAGAGAACAAGAACAAAAAAATCTTACACCGGTGTGCAACACTGGAAAGCCTGCAGTGATGAATGTGGAAATAAACAATGAAATATGCAGCCTATGTAAGTTACACAATGCAGCACGACAAATGTCAACCACCTAAAGCTTTCTGATTGTGGAGAATACACCTGGTGCCAGGTTTATTGCTTCTGAGGTGATGGACTATGATAAGATCACAGCAACCAACTTCCTGGAAAAGTCAGCTAGCTACAAAAAAAATATATGCTGATGATCATACTGTAAATATCTTGATCAGTAATCATTTGTGCATCTTGTGCACACCAGTTATAAAATATAGTTATTGGAAGAGTGAGCACTACTCTCACAGAGAGTTATGTGATAATTTGAAAGCAGGCTGGCCTCACAAAACGGACCTCCAGTCTGCTGCTTAGGTTACAGTAAACATGCTCTGCCTCTTACTGCTCCCTGTTTTCATTTCCCACAAGTTACAGTAGAGAGAGGGTGGAAAGAAAAAAAAAGAAAAAAATACAGGAGAAGAAATTTATCCTTGCTTCCACCCCTTATACCCCTGCTTTGGGCTGCTGTGAAGCTCTACGGAGTCCAGAGCAGTAAAGTCCTACCAGGTGCTTCTAAAAACAATGTGCAGGGGGAAGAAGTCCTGTGCATCTTCTGACCCTTTCCCAGTCATAGGAACAGGGTAAAATTAATTGTAAAGGTATAAGGTAAAGATGAAAATATTGGCTCTGAATCTGTTTCTCTGAACAAATCCTTGACCTTGTACAATGGAGTTTAGGCTGTAGTTATGAATACTTTTTTTTTTTTTTGCAGGTGTTACAGGAGAGCTCGTTTGTGTGCATGTATGTGTGCCCACAGAAAAGCACACGATGACTAGAAGCAGATTCTAGCCTGAACTCAGATTTTCTGGCTCTGGAGTAATAGATAGAGAGGGAGGAATTGACTTCTATTTGTGGAAAAATAAAATTCCTCCCAGCAAAATGAACATCTTGTAGAAAACACTTTCACTACAATGCTGACGTAGCTTATATATTTTAATTTTTATTCCTTCTCTTTTCTTCATCTCAATTTTTACAGGTAAAAGGCTTAAATCAGCTGAAATGTCTAAGGGTTTCAATTTGAACTTAGATCCCCTGTGCTTTTTCCTGCTCAGACGCAGAACGGTCATGCACATCCTTCCTGACGCACTCATCTCTCCTTCAGTGGTCAAAAGAGGCAAGTAAGCTTATTAGATCGATCAGCCTTTTATATCAGTTACAACCTGATGACGTTCTTCACCTAGGCTTTGTCAAAATCGACCTCGGGATACGTGTGCCCCTGCGCGCACGCGCGAGCGTGCCTGTGCTGGCACGCGTGCGCCTGCGGAAAGCAAAAGCGAAGGCGTGCTCACCTGGGATCCTGTTGAGCGTCACCCAGAAGTGCTCGTCGGGGCTGTAGGTGTCCTCGGACCAGGCCAGCAGGTCGACGGCGCGCCGGTCCCGCAGCACGAACTCCACGAAGGGCCGGGTGACGGCCACGTACGCGGAGCCGAAGTAGACGGTCAGGTTGTGGGGCGGCGGCGCCTTGCGCACCAACGTCCAGAGCACGAAAGAAAAGGAGGAGTAGAGCTGCTCCCGGTGCACGTATTTGGTGCGGGCGGTGATGTGGGGGGGCGGCAGCACCCCGGGGGTGACGTTCTTCCCCCCGAGGCCCTTCAGCAGCTGGACGATCTCCCGGTTGGTCTTCAAAGGGAAGTCCTGGCCGCAGGCGTTGAGCAGGTAGCGCCAGGGCACAGCCGAGGCCAGCAGGTCCCTCATGCAGTGGAGGTCGGCCCGCAGGCGGGAGGCGCCCCCGTAGACCACCCGCTCCGCCCGGGAGGCGAGGAAGGCGTTGGGGAAGCAGCCCACCAGGCGCCGCACGGCCCGCCGGAATGGGGCCGGCGCCTTGGCGTCCACGTGGACGCAGTAGACGTTTTGGGGCGCGTAGACGGCCCTGAAGAGCCGCTCGAAGGTCTCGAAGTCCTTGTGCAGGGTCATGACGTAGGCGATGGGGAAGGCAGCCTCCTCGGCCGAGAGGGCGCGGGTGATGTAGTGGCTCTGCGTGATGTACTCCACGCAACTGGATTCTCTGAACGATGTTTTCAAAGCATTTTCCTTCAGAAAGGGCGCCTTGTCTTCAAGAAGTGCTTTACAGGCTTCTGCTAAAGCTGGACTCGCCGATAAGTTCAGTCTCCTAAGAGATTTTTGTGCATGCAAATTAACAGCATAGAAAACAAGTGAAAGTGAAACACTGAGAATCAGGACAGCAAAGAAGCAACATCGGAGTGTATTCATTGCTCCTCAGAAGAAGAGTCTCACTCGAAGTATTACAAAGAAGTCAGATCAAACACCACAAACAGCTTGTTTTGCTGGCTGTGCCTTCTTCCTGCTGGAGAACGCATGCGTCTGATGCATAGTATGCAGCTGCTGTCCTTACTTTCAATATTAATAGTTTTGTAGTCATCGTTGATGTGGACGCAGCATAAGTGGCGAACAACTTGCAGATGGAAGCAGCTCCACAGCACCCTGAAGATTAAATAGACATATTGCAAATGGCTTGGTAATGAACAGCCGGCACTACATATTTCACAATGTCCCTAAATTCATTTTATGGGTATGTTCTTAACTGCCTTCCTCCCCACTCTCCCTGTGTTTATCATATAGCTATAGAACTTCCTATACATGCACTCTGTGACAGGAAAGCCTCACATTTACTTCTGGTATAATGTTTTTTTTTTTACTTGGAGAATTTTTTTTTAAGCCACCCAAGTGTATCAGTCATCACTGCTTCAGAATTATGGAAGTCCAGTTCAGCAGACCGTGCTACCCTGTAAGGCCACCAGCTCTTACATATAAGAAGCAGGAGAATCTTTTTTTGCCTCTGTGTAGAGTTATATCAGAGCCATCAGGTTTTTGCAGCAGTGTTTTCTTCATCTGTAAATTTGAAATCTGCCAGATAATTTCTTCTAAGTGTCATGGGTGAGTTGGGATGAGCTCCGTGCTTACAACCATCACAAGGAACTGCGTTAGCAAAACCTGCTATTTAAACTACTTAAGCTAAACTTAGACTTTCTGATGAGACATTCTTGTTTCTAAAAGCCATGCATGCATTTGGTGTAACAACATGCTTATGCAATGAGAGCTTGTGGCATGGCTCTGACTGATGTGAAATACCTGGTAACAAACAGCATGTTTGGGGCATATAAACTTTTTTCCAACATCACGTCCTTTTGCTCCAGTGCAATGTAATGCTGAGGCAATATCAGACGACCTGAGATTATGCCAATAAACATTTTAACTGGGCAGTCCGGTGTGCTACGGAGGCAGAAATACCATCACCTACCTGCCAACTCATGCAGACAGCTCACCCCAGGCACTGGCGGGTCCCTCCCAGAAGCTGCACTTTCCGCCCATCGTGGCCCCAAACAGTCTCTGGGATTCTCTGTTTGAACAGATTGAAGGCTGCAGGCAGTGGCTTCAGCCCACCAGGTACAGTCACAGGCTGTAATGAGGAGAGGAGCACTGGAGAAGCTCTGGAAGGACTTAGGGCCAGAACGTCCCCCAAGAGGGGGGCACTGGTGCCAGACAGACCTGGCAGTCAAGCTTCCCTGGTGAGGACAAGGAGCAGAGCCGCTCCTCGCCAGGAAGCGAGCCAGGACAGGGAGGGAGAGCTGCGGTCACGCTGGAGACCCAGTGCAGCCTTCTGTGCAGACACCAGCGCCTTCGGAAGGAGGATGGCTCCGATGGAGCTGAGGGGCTGGAATGGAGGTGTGCAAAGTCCCAGGGAGTAACGGAGGCTCACCTGACGCTGCTGAGAGGTCATCTGGAAAATGCTGCCACAGCCTAATACTACAGCTCGTTAAAGAGGATTCAGAGAGATGAGAAGATGCTGAGCTGAGACCACTATCCAAGCCTAGCAAGGAAACACACAGCAAACGCTGCCATGACTCCATATCCCAGCTCCGTTACCGGCAAATGCTGTTCTAGGGAGCACAGACCTGTCCGGTGTGCTTCAACTCACTGCACCTTCCTAATGCGATTGCTACGGTGAACTATACCCAGGAGTAAACAACACTCACCCACCTGCCACCACCACAGGTGACTGTAAAGCCATCAGCTTCTTGCGCTCCTCTGCCCACTCCACAGACCACTGAGGTCAGCACCTTCCCACCTCCACACTGGGCCAGCTGGCCGCAAGACCATTTCTTCCCCCGTGCCATGGTCTTAACGTGACCATTCCTATCCAGCTGGAGTTAGGAAAACATGGAAGGAGGAAAACCAGGGGCAGGTGCCAGTATTCCTGCAGGAGCCAGGATTTCTTGGAGGGAGGCTCAGCTGTGGGCAGAGAGCACAGCTAGCTTTTCCGAAATACCAAAGGCTGAGATCCTCCAAGGCATCTAGATGCCTTTGAAGCTGTCTGCTAAGAAGCTTTAAAAACTATTTTAGGTGCTGTGTAACCTGCTACACAGCTAGGAAAACTTTTAAAGAACTTAAAAAAAATATATATATATAAATAAAAGGTATATATATCTAAGGAGACTGTTTTCTCTCAAGTGTTGGAGTTTGCATTACTAGTGTGGTCTGTAGCAAACAAGCAAGCTACATGCAGGAAACAAGAAGATAAGCCTGCTCATCATAGGAGTGAAATGCAAGATTTAAGTTTTCCTTGGTGTGTTTTGTTGGCTTTTTTTTCTTGCACAGACATTGCTGCAACACCCTTGCAGCAATTCAGACTAATTGTGATCCTTTGGTACTACTAGCTTTTGGGGAAAGAAGACTGCATGATGGCGTTACTTCTTAAGCCTAGTGCCTCAATTCTCTGGCACAGTTAGTATTTTAAAACCTGAAAACATACATGTAAATGATTGCTGTGAAAAAACAAGCTCTCAACACCTTTGGGTTTTTATGGTTTTTTTTTGTTTTGTTTTGTTTGTTTGTTTGTTTGTTTTTACCACTTCTACCTTGTGCTGATCTTTGTGAAATAAGATCCATGTCTTGGATTATAGGCAGAAATCACAAAAGAAAAAAAAAAAAAAAAAAAAAAAAAGCAATGAAACAAAGAAATAGAGTGTACAAATCACATGAGTCAGTCACCTCAATGGGAAAACTCTTTCTCAGGTATTGGTGAGTTGTTGATTTTACAGACTAATCTGAAGTTTGGAGGCAAGGAACAACCAAATCTAGATGCAAAACTGAACCATATTATGTCAAATGTCACTGAAGAAGCAGGAAGGCGGCAAGAGTCTTCATGATGCCTGTGGGTCTTCCCATTGTGTATCGTATTGGACTTCAGCATATTTTGGGTGCAAAAACAGAGTTACTGGACAAAAAGATAACAGAAGATCAAATTTACCATGCTGTTTGACAGAGGCCATGTAAAAGGGGTCTGTGCTGGTAGAACTAAAACTGTTGCTAACTGAGAATTGCAGTGCCACTCCTTTCTATTGTTCCCTGGACCTGCGTTGTAGCAATTCTTGTTTTAACATGAGGAGCTTTTGGTGTGGCTCCTGCAGTGGAGACACATTCCCCAGTAGGATTAGTGATTGAAATGTCTTCCCTGTGGATGAATGGGAACAAACCTTTCCAGACAACGAGATATTATCTTAGGAATACAGTTAGTACTCAGTAAACTGCTCCTGGCCTTAATAAATATAGATAATTGGTTTCAGCTAATATGTTAGCTAATTAAAAAGCATGATGCACAGGCTTTGAACATTGGTTTTGAGTTCCTGTTTGGCCTTGGTCAGTAGTGACAAACGTTATGTATTTCATGTCTATTTGGAGTCACTTGGCATTTTCTATTCTATTGTTAGGACAGAACCATCTGTATCATGGCATTCCTTTTTGTGACCCTCGCATACAAAGCTGTCAGTTTGAATTGGCACTGTCATTAAAATCACAGTGAGGCCGTTGCAAGCAAACAATTTCTCCTCAGTGTGTTTTTTTCTGGTTAGGAAGCGGAGGTAGCCACAGTCCACTGCTTTGTGCCCAAGTAAAAGTTCTGTTCATCCCTTACACCTTCTCACACCAAGGTGAAACTTCTCCGGTCTTGCGCTGCTCCGGGATGTTGTGCAATGTGCACAGCCTCCCCAACACCAAAACTCCCCACTTGGAGCAGCCCTGCCTGGCAGCAATCTTCACTAACACGTGCCTTGCTCACACGCCCCGCCTGAGCTGGCAGGTATACGTGCACCTTATAACACAGCGAACCAGAAAGCAGAGTCGGAGCACAGGAGCAGTTAGAGTTTACTCCTATCTCTTCTCCTCTGCCCTCCCTTTTTTTCCCCGTTCCGAGCAGTCCCTCCCATTCCTGCACTTCCCAGCCAGCAATCATCTGGCTATTCAAAGAGAAGAAAATACAAACCTACCTGAAACAGGAGCTCCCAGGCAGACACACTGACACTGGACAGGCGACGCAGCAGCACTCCCAGCAAATGGGAGGAGAGATTAAATGACACATCAAGGCAAATGCTAGCTCAGCTCACATAGTCTGGTAAAATCATCGAGTGATCTAATCACTCAGACAGGGAGCACGTCTGCCTGCACAAATAGCAGGGGCCAGACCATATACCATCTCACCCGCTTTTGCCTCGCAGTGCTCTCAAGCTCCAGGCGCAGAGCCTCTCCCACTGCAGGAACTTCACTGCTTGTCTGAATTTGCGGTAGAATTTTAGCTCTAGTGATTTCAGGAATAGGTAAGCTGCCTAGTCTCTAGCAGAGCGCATTTTGCAAGTCAAACTTGCTACTGGGGCAAAGCAGAGCTTTATACTCCTCCCACCTCCAATTAATTTCCAACAGGGACATGCACTCACCTCTGTGCAAACTACTCCTCATCAGCTGCTCAGGAGCAACAGCACGGCATTCTCTTCCCAGCTCATTTATCCTCCTGCGCAGAGAAAGCAAGACATAATTAAACATGTCCTAATAGAGGACAGGCAGGCTGTGGTGGTGAAGTTGGTTTTCTTCTGTTAAATACGACTGGATTTTATAGGTGATACTGGTGGAGTTGAGGCATGGAGGAGATCTGTTTTCTTACTGCAGATTAATGTAGGCATTGGCATACAGTAAAGTGCAAATGGACACGTGCAGCTATTTGCACTGGAGGAGTGTCCAGAGGTAGCTCACACTGGAGTTTGCAAACACCTGGGTGCTTACCGACTTTGTGAAGGTGAACCCAAGGTGTTCTCCTCAGTGGGTGAGGTGGGGCAGCCGGTGTCAGACCCTTAGGGAGGTGCTAGGTCAGGTCCCTGCGTGGCCAAGGGCCCATTCCCAGCTGCAGGTGCCTGAGCAGCTAGAGGGGCAAAGCAACTCCATCTTAAGGCTGGGAGTGACCTGCTCTGCCCAGCAAGGCTAACCACAGTCGTGCCTGCTGGCACAGGCATCTGGCTGTGCCAGAGAGAGAGCAGCTACACGGATCGCTCCCTTTATTTCTAATGGTACCACTGAAGGTTTAACATTATCGGGCTCTTTATTCTGGCAATATAACTTGTTGCCAACAAGCAGAAAGTCCATTGGTGTCTAGAAAACATCACCTGTCAAGGACAGAAAATGATAAGGTTAATCTGTCATTAAAAAAAAAAAAAAATAGCCAGAAAGTTTTCAAATATGTAAAAAAGCAAAACCAGAAGCAAATCCTGATGCAAATAGAAAGGGAGTAGCTGATTCTCGCTGTTCTCTGTGCATAGGACAAGAACTAATCAGTTTAGATAGCATCAGGAGAGGTGAAGATCAGACATTAGGGAAGCTTTGTAGTGACAAACAGTTAAATGTGGATTAGATTGTCTGGAGAGGCTGGAATTTTCCTGATGATGGTTTTCAGGAGCAGGTTAGGCGTAGCTTTTTCAGCAGTTTTGCAGGTCATACTGGTGCAGACCTGGTAATTTTCTAGGTCTTTTCCAGCTCTCGTTCCTGTGATTGTCTGTGTTACAGTATCTTTTAGCTGGGCTGGGGATCCTACTACATCCAGGAACTGTTAACAAAAGGACTTTGTCATCACTTAGAAATATGCTCATGATCTCTGCTAATTACCATTAGCCTTTCAATTTTGGTAAGCTCAGGATAGTCCTGGACCACCCTAGAACGAAAAGCATTTGCATGATACTGTTGTGATTCATCCTAAACACAAGGAAAAATCATTTAATAAATGATAAATCTGTAAATTATTTTACCTATTGACAGGTATTTCACCTCTCATGTCTTTTCTCAGAACACAAATTAGCTTGATGACTGTTCCATCTCTTTGATCGGGATCTTCTTTCAGAGGGCTACGGTAGGTATCTGTTGTCCTTAAAGCCTTCCTGGCTGGGACGGACTTTTTATTAGGTTTAGGTAGAACCAAGCCAGGACTTGCCTTGTGAAAGTCTCCTTCCCACCCCACTGGGCTGTGAGGTGCCACCAGGTTTGTAGGGCTCCGGAGATTCCCAAAGGGCTTTGGGACTGAAAGTGTCCCCACCACGCTGCACTCCAGGTCT